TCCATGCCATGTTTTTGTCTTGGGGTCATGCCTATGAATTATAAGAATGATGTTGTTTTCAATAATTAGTTTTTGTTGGGAGAGTGCCAGCTTTAAAAACAAGATTTGATGTTCACACGTATTTCCGCTCACGTTTTTCAAAGTCAATTCTGAGATAATTATGCTGTTTTGTGTCTTAATTAATTAATAATACCTCTTACCGAAATCCCTGAAATACTGTTATTATTGTGTATCTCGACAGACACGACGTGGAAACATTTCGACCATACAACAGAGATCAGAAATAAATTCGCATATTCGAACCCAGGAACAATGAAACCACAATTGTTTGCACACAGGGGCACACAGCAGTAACCAAAATCACATAAAAATACCAAGATGTGAGCCACATAGTAAGTGGCTTTTGAAATCAAAATGAATTAAAAAAATTACCCTTCTTTGATCATTCGCATCATTACGTTGCAGTATGACTGGATGAAATGTGACTAATAGTATGAGTGAGTAATGTGTTAATAACACATATTGCATGACTATAAGGGCACTAGTATACGTCTATTTTCCCGAGGGACTGTGGGTACCAAACTATCAGCTATTTCACGAGGCCGCAGGCTTAATAGTGACTCGGTGAGGGAACATTACGATATAGTTGTTTGCTTTTACTGGTTGTCAAGAATATTAGCTTCGAAGTTGTATTTTAATTTTGTAAGAATATGCCCCTATATTTTTTACAACTTCGTCAAAAATAAGATGTGACCTTACGGTGACACTAACAATTGTGGAAAAACAGTTACCATTTTAGAAATGATGGAAACAATAATTAGAATATAATTAGAAAACAGCAAAATATTCAAATGATGTATTCTTGACAATGGCGTATTTTTTGAGAGCAAATATAACCATGGATATACTATTACCGTTTTTATTCATGTGTGACCTCAAAACACGTGCTTTCTACCAATGTATAAGTGGTGGTCATTCTTGTTCTGGTTACAGTTTTCAACATTTTCAAGCAAAAAGACTATCATTTTATCTTAAACCATTTCCCAAAGACAGCATTGCTTCTATCTGCCGCATACTTAGTATCCCTTCATTTTTTTCAAATTTCACAGAACGTTCTATGTTGCTAAGACGCGCACCACCGGAAATATGTTGTAATATTCGTTCTATTTAGGTACGGGCGACCCCAGCTATAGTGTGCCGATCTACTTGTGAATGGAGAACACTATGGGTGTTGTCGCTGGATATCAGAAGAAGTCTTGCAATGCTGCCTTTTACAAATGTTTGTTTTATTCGGTTAAGGTAGAGATGCAGTTTACCTGACAGGTATTTTAATTAGTTGATTAGGAAACCAAGATGACCTCCATTGTCCACAAAACTATATATTTTCGGAAAGCTTATCGTATGAATTTGTATGAAGTTTATACATAAATTAACACCCATGCTAGTTGTCTGTACGGTTGTTGTAACACTGTTCAACCAAAAACAATGCCCCGACGGCGTTTTGAAGATAGACACAATGTCAATCATTTGTGAAAATTTCAAAACAAAAGGTCAAAGCGTCTAGGAGCTACTTTTTTTAAAGTTCTGGGATGTGCACTGAAAAGAAGCTAAGATAATTGCTAATTTGCATAACAATTCACTCAGTAAGAAATTTGCTAATGCTCATAATTAAAATGGCTGTAACAGTTCCAAATTTAAATGTATTATCGTTTTGTTAAAAGTTAAATATAGTGCATATTATGGAGATCCAGTCATTTCTTGTTTTCACCATGTTTCTTTTTTATTTTTTATGTACAGCCTTGCTAAATCTTTCTAAGCATTCAAAGGAGAGAATGTTTGCACCTGTTATCTATATTTTAAAATCGTTTTTTGAGTATGTTCCACTATTCACAATTCTACAAAAGTTTAACAATCTATAGCCAAGACTGTTTGGAAAATAAAAAGCAAAAAAAAAAAAATTCACTCCCAAGTGCCCACGAACCTGCATCTCTACCTTAATAATACAAATATTGACCATGTATCGCTCGTTCTGTAAATCGACCTTGGCCCGGGTCAATATTTCAATAATATGTATCGAAATAATGATATGATTACATAAAGACTGTATTTATTAATGACTTTACATAACGCAGATATCCTGACAGTGAGGATATAAAGGATTATCTAAAAGAATTAGAAGAAGAAGCGGAAGAATCATCAAATACAGTAAATAAGAATGGTATGTATCATGTACTTTATGTCATTTGGCGTCGCACGTTTGTGTCACGCAAGTCTATGAGATTTTTTGTGCCGATAACAATCCTAACGTCTGAAAATGTTATAACACCAAACGTACTAAAATACCATCACAAAGACTACAGACCGACACAAGAAGAGTGATAGAGAAATTATACAGAAATTGTTTCATAATTATTCATAAATCATATGCCACATGTCGGGGAAAGTGAAAGTATTATGAAACAAATATCCAAACAAATGAGTCTATTATTATAGATGATTATGTTATAAAAGAAACTAATTAATCTACATTTACAAACGCGGACTATACAATCATTGTTTCCGTTTGTATTTATTGCGTAATCATTGCATCCGGGTATGTGTAATTTAGCAATCTGATTTATTCTTCTACAGTTACTTCACAACCTGAGGTCACCGAAGCTAAAATAGATTAAACTATCGAAATGAGAGATATACACTGGAAAATATTACCTGATACACACACTCCATTATTTGCCAGTATTTTTTGAACAGAGGTTAACCTACGAATGTGTGATGGTATGGCAAATACAGTGAAATGTTTAAGTACACTGAATGTAATACACCTAACACCAAACTGGAAATAATAAATCAAGGTTTCACTGTGGTTGATCACCTGATCAATGAAACATACACAAACATTATTTTCATACATCTTTTTAAAGAAAAAGATGGGAAGAAAGGGCTACAATTGACTGCTGTCGACAAGGCCAAAACAGCTCTTTACCACACGCAACTTTAGATCAATTTGTTTCGTTGTTATTATATCTTGACCACAAACAAACGTATACTAGAGATGTTACACACAAAACACTTCGTGCATATAGTCCGTAAATTCCTGTATAGCTTAGTTTGATAAATAGCGTAATATTGTATTGGTAGCCAGTATATATATTTATATTTTTATATATTTATATTTCAAAGTATATCCGGGACAGGAATTGTGTGGGGCTTCGCCGTATTTGTGAGATGAGAGCTTGTCTTCAGTACAGATCTAATAATCATCTTCTTTGGTAGCGTCCTTATCCTTTTCATCTCAGCTGTCACGGGGTGGGAATCGTTTGGCATCGCTACTACTGTCACGATGTGAGGAGAAAGATGTACCTAATAATGAATGTAATAGTTCACAACAACACTGAATATAATATTAATGACTGAACACTAGAGGGTGCTAGTCACTTAAACTAGATGGGATTGGAGTATATACAATTAATAAATGTAATCGAAATGATTATCGATGCTGAAAGGAAATCCCCACTCTCTGGGTGAACAGCTCCGTAGATCGGCGTCTTTCTACCTTTTAGCCACACTGATGCACAGGTGTTTTAAACTCGGGTACTTGCAGCCTCATACCGTTATTTTGCTACTAAATGAGATAGTGCTAGGAATATGACGAATTCATATGAGAAGCAAGAATTATCTCTGCACACACGAGTCGGGAATCTGCACACAGGATATTGCAGTCAATTCGAGTAGCTATGCCAATTCAAAATAGGGTGATACTTAATTCCATATACACGAAGCGCTGGTCAGTTGCATTATATTTCACAATTAAACTAGTATACCATAAATCATAGTGGGGGGGGGGGGGCTGTATTTGTCTCAACGCGTTACAGTGAATTCAATGAGAGATAGAGTATAATTTAGCCTTGAGGAGGAACAAATTGAACTATCGTATCAAGAAATTAACTTTAAAAAAATATATCATTCAAATTATATATGTAAGCTTAGCATCTTTAGTAGTATTTGTAACCACGTGAAATGTGAATTTAATCCCTTCACAATGTCGAAATGCAATAATGTAATGTAATTACCAACTTTGAAAGTATGCTCTAATATGCTCTCTATTTTTGAAACACTAAAAAGAGATTATTCATTATGAATAAAAATGTCGGGCATATGTTCGTACAGTGCAACGACTTGCTATTTTCAACAATATAAAGGGCGCTGTTTAGCCTTACGTTTGTCAGTGTTATCATTTGTCAACCAGAAGTTAAATTTCTACGTAATATATATTCAAGCATGTTTATACCCTGAAATATATATTATACAGAAAAGTCGTATTGTGTAGTAGTATGCTGTATTTTGTAACGTGTATTAACAGTTATTTAGTAAATTGAGATACGTTCTAAAGCCAGACTTATATAATTTATTATTATATTTTATTGGCCAATCAGAATCGCACATTTTGCATATCAATAGAATTTTTATCAACATGCCGCAGCTTGTTATACTGACCAAAATCATAAACATGTCAAAAATTTGGACGGAATTATGGACTATAAAAATATTGGTAACTATTAGATTTGTGATGAATAACTACTTCTGACTGTGGCAAGAGAAACCTTGAAGTGAAAAACGTTTAATTCGGTACAACATGAATGTTAACTACTGCTTCACCTAGGTCGACAATGGTCATTTCGGGTCGGTCGACAAATATGTATATCGACTTTGACCGAGGTCAATATTTGTACGATAGTGTCCCGGGTTGATGAATTGCAACCGACGCTGATAATGGAAAATTAATAACGAACATCGATACTGGAACAGACATGTCAGCGAACCAGAGCATACTTGATTTAGATATTCATATGAATAAGAGCCATCGCTCGAAACATCTGATTATATTGAATAATTAAGACCATTATCTACTATCAATGTTTGTATATTATAATTCATGCGGCGTAACTACATATGGGTTCTTGAAAATACATTTTTGTTTATAAATAATCGACTCAATAGTATTTATTGCTGAAGCATTTATATCTGCACTATTTATTATTTTTAACGTAAGACACGGGATTAAAAGTGAAATTACATTCATAAACACGTGCCTCTTTTTTATTTTTGCCGAAACAATGCATAACTGTAGACATATAAGTATGTTACTTCAAGTGTCAAGCACTTCATATTACATTTTATAGAGAAGTTCTAGAGAACAGGAAGATTACCACCAATCCCCCAAATAATAGCGGCAAAGCAAAATTGTAAAATTGCTGGGTATTCATCATAAGTCGCACATACGACTCGTTATGTTGGACAACTGTGAAGAGAACATAATAAAAATGTACATTAGTTTGTGTGTATATAATATATATATATATTCGTGTAACAGGAATATTTATAATCGTATATAATCGTCGGGCAATGAATTTCTTCAATCAACTTTGTGCAAAATGAATAGTATTTAGTTTCGACAATTTCGAAGTTATGAAAATATTATGTGATAGAATATTCTCTATCGCTATACTATAATGTATAAATGCAATTTCGGAGAAATACAATCCAAAAAAGGACCTTCTCGTTTGAGTATACGTTCACATAGGTAGCGAGATGCGTTATTTTCTGTTTCAAGACACAAAGTTCACACGATTACACCAGTTTCAAAACAAGCGAAGTACACAGAAGATGTAAAGCTCGGAGGAATATAAAAATAGAACTCAAAACCCTTTAATATTAATTACTACCGTATACTAAAATATGTTTGGATATTTAGAGTAGTAACAAATTCGGACTTCCCAGATTGCGTAAAATGGGATAATTTTGCGGTTTTGACCCGAAAAAAGCTGGGCTAAATCATTTGCTGTGGGACGGCCGCTTAGGTATGTGCACTCTAACTTAGAGCACATGAACTTGAATTCGGCTGAATTCGGCGTTTTTGTGTGGAAAAATCCCTTACATACGAACACCTAATTACACGAATAACCTAGAACCTAGAACACTAAGCCGGGGTATTTGAAACCGAAATTGTCATCTAAGTGTAAGGCCGTCGCTGATTAGCTGTTGAGCTGGAATGACAATTTTTGGTTTCAAATACCACAGAAAAGTGTTCGATGTCCTTAGTGTAATTAGGTGTTCGTATGTAAGGGATTCGGCCGAATTTTGTTATCGATTGGCTTAATATAACCCCAACAGATCGTATTTGTGTGAAAGATTAGTATTTTTGTCCTGATTTGTAGGAATCTGAAAAACGCGTTTCACAGCTTGTCTCTTATTTAGTTTTATGCTGCATTCAAGATGGCGGCCCCCATATAGTACATGTCGTATTTATTTTATTATCACATGTGTACCAGCTGACTGTGGGTAGAGCTGTATGTAGTGTTCATTTCTAGGCAATGTAAAATATATACAGATTGTTTTGATTCAGACCTGTCGCATTTTGTGTATACCAGTCAGACACTGAAAAGTAAGTTAAAGTATTAGTAAACGGTGCAGGACATATGGGACTCTGAATCACAGGTAGGCCCTGAAAATAGCATCATCATACAGTGTTACAAATGATGCTTACAAATAATCCGATATTTATGCTGGAGAATAAAGTACTGGAAACTGTAAATTACACAAAGTAGTCAAATCAATAAGAAATGATACTATGGATCCCATGGTATACATAGAAGTATAACTACAAGAATAAATGTTAGCCGACATGCAATGTCTAGTATTGCTAAATCGCCGGATGTGGCACATTATATATAATTGTAGTGGGAATTGCCAAGCCAGTTTGTAAAACTGTGAACAGATATTTTCGTAATTAACACTGACCGCAAAATAGGCCCTTGGGTGTTACTGACGGAATATTTTGTATTGTAATTTTTTTCAATTTTAATTAGTTGTATTGCAATACGTTAGTAATAATTAAAACATATATACATTTTTTTATTTCAATGCTGAGATTAAGTAGTTAAACAGTTGCTTCGTACTATCTATATCGGATTGTTCTTGGGATTATTAATTTCAATAAACAATATTCAACTATCCTTCTGCAACACCAGTAAGATCATTACTTACAGTGTGTCACTGAACAGTATAAAATGACGCAAAGCTCATTCTATAAATGTACACTGGTGGCAATATATTCACTGGCGGATGCAGAAATTCGGTAAGTGGGGAGCGGGCTTCTATTGACGTGCCCTCCGGTGGGCTGGGTTTGTCAATTGATTTGATTTTTTTCGGGCTGAAGGTGGGAGGGGGGGGGGGCTGGCGCTGTACATAAACTACTCTTGCCACGTGTCACTGAAGGACAGTTTGAAACTAGTATAGTGCAACGTAATATTGTTTACAATATTAATAATTCGGTCTACAACGATGTTAATCTAAGGAATTTATATTAAGCTGAGTCATCGCGATTACGTTAATATGAGAAATGTAATTCGGGAAGAACACATCCGTAAATAAACATACATAAAATAAATAATTATCGCTTTGAGGAATACTTTATTCTCGTTTTCTATAATGAGCATACCTGTTTATCACTTGCCAGCTGAGACAAAACTCCTGAATATTGTGCGTTGTGTCACCATTCTTCTTGATGAAACCCTCGAAGGTATGGGTTGCATTTGCAGCATACTTTGGTCCAAGCATTCCACGTTGTTTTCCAACAAGAGGTGAGTAATCCTCAATTTCAAATCGTATTTCATTGTGACCGGTTTTTGCATTCTTTATCCATAGGACCCACCAGCCCTCAGTTAAAGAGAATACCACCTGTGTGTACTGATCAATAATCTCCACAGCAACCGTCAAATCATCAACAACAAAGGCAGTACCATCACACATCTGACTGTCAATCTGTGTAGTATATAAATATCAGGAACTGTGTTCACACCTTGTGTTAGCAGCATCTATTCGTGATTTGCCTGAATTTCTGATTGTATACACTCAGCATACAATTAGCCACTCATCACAAAAAAGCTACATTCCGGGTTCTCCGAGGAACATTCTACCACTAAAATTATTCGTCATCCTATTTTATGACACCCTCCAGTATAAGAAACATACTAGTAATATGGCTGTAAGCAGCAACAATCAGCTTCGACCAATAGGATATTGAACCCGCGTTGCTATGAATATAGTAGGGGCAAACTTTTGAATGAATGTATTATCTAAGTATGAAGTTTTAGTCAGATACTTAAAATGGTTAAATATCATTTTGAAGTGATTGATATTAGTTACTTGGTGTCACATTATGTTGTTACTAGTATATGGGCAATCAATGTGTATGTTCATATAAAATTGGGATGCTTGTAATAACGTGTATGCATGGTAATTAGGCCACATAACCACTCTATCATTTCTTATATATATATATATATATATATATATATATATGTATAAGATATGTACATCATTCCATTCATATAGTTTTATAAATATAAAACTGTGCTACATAAGAAGAAATTATCAGTCTGGAAACATTCATAACAATTAATGTACAAAAGAATGATATATGGACCTCTAAGTTAAGACCAAGTCGTTATATCAGGTGCAAAAGAGAGCATATTCTTTCCTAACATAAAATGAGCTTTTACATAAAGATAAATGATATTGAAACAATCAGAAATCGTCTGCCTGGGTGATTTTGTCGTATTTTGTAACCAATTCATCTACCATAGAAACTATTAAATGAGATAAGACGTCCTCCTAAGCCAGCTTGACTTGGCAGCTTGGTAGAAAAGAGTCTATGACGTTTCTCAAGCTCCAGCATATCGAGAAGCTCGGAAATGCATACACTATATTGAGGAGATAGAGGGATATTACTATAATGATTGATTGAAGTCATTGATGAATACTGATAAAACTCTCTTGTCATACAGTCTACTAGAAGAGTTAAACTTAGAGTCGAACTCAAGGAGAACATCCATATATGAGGCAAAAGAACTTGAATCCGTGGTAAATTTGATTTAAAGTTACATATATATCATAGAAATACAATTATTAATTGAAAGAATTGTTGATGAACATCATCAATATACCTGGAGGTGAAAATGAATAATTTCCTACTGTGTCTCACATATACTTTTCTGTGCCATGTTATTTTTAGCATTACATTGTTATCTTTAAGGCACTAGTTTAATGTCCCCATCTGAAACGGTGATTGAGATATTACAGTTTAATCAAACTAATGAAGTTACATAACCATATATGGTCATATGATATTTTAGGAATATTACTTTTCCTTTTCATTCACTATAGCACTAGTTGCATGTCCCTATCTAAAAACGTGCTTGCAGTATTATAGATATGCATATTAATGAGGTCACAGCAAAACGGAATAGTCACTGTCAATAAATGTTTTAGAAAACGATAGAGGAAAAGAAAAAAAAGTTATGATAATAGGTTTACAAACTTGACAGGCTTTGCAAGACTTTATATTCAGAGCAAATTTACGCTATAACCACTGTCAATAAATTGTTTTTAAAAAACGATAGAGGAAGAAAAAACAAGCAGCCGGTTAGCATTGCAAATTTCAATTAAAGAACTTAAGATACCATTAGAAAATGAACAATATATAGTACCAAAGCAATCAGACTTGCTGTTTTCAACAAGAATTCAAAAATATAACTTTTTACCAAAAATATTCATCAAAATTAGATAATTGAAGATATCATCATGAAGTGAACGAATCTAAGAGAGACCTACCTGAGGTACCTATATCTATAGTATCAAAGCAATCAGACTTTCGATTTTTAACAAGAAGTCAAAAATATCACTTTTTACCAAAAATATCAAAAATATTCACCAAAATTAGAGAATTGAAGATACCACCATAAAATGAACAAATCTGAGAGAGGTCTACCCTAGGTATCAAAGCATTCAGGCTTGTAATTTTTCAAGAAGAAGTCGAAAAAGTAAGAAGTTGACACAGACGACGACGGACAAAACAAGTGATGATAATAATCGGCTTTCAAACTTAAAGGTTTTGCAAGACTTTATATTCAGAGCAAATTTGCGCCATAACCATTGTTAATAAATTGTTTAAAAACCGATACAGGAAGAAAAAAGTGATAATGATAGGATTTCAAACTTGACAGGTCTTGAAAGACTAATATTCAGAGCACATTTGCGCTGTTTGATTCCATGAAGTTTAACTATATTACCCCTGTATTACATTACTACCCACATTCAGTACACTTCACGTATTAACACCAACTTATATTTCATATTAGCTCCATCAAAAACTGTCTGTCCAACAAATCTGTACTTGCATTATCAAGAACCAGACTCAAGCTATACGATGCCTGCTCATTCTTTCATGCTTCCACTTCGTTCACGAAATACACTAACAGCAGTTATTTATTCTGCAGCCGAACTGCAAACTAAATGTTGTGAAAAGTGTTACTGTGGTGGATCTTAGACATTATGCACTGCTGTTTGAAGCGCGCTAAACACAACTAACATAGTACTAAATGTTCGTTCGAAGCAGTGATACATTGGTTGTCAACCTATAATTTCAAAAAAAGAGGCCCCCATTGCAAATGCACATTTAATGGAAAATGAATCCCGCGTGCAATTCAGTGAATTCACGGATATTTACATTACAGTAAGCTATTGTATTTATTACTGTGCACGAAACATTTGTTTGCTGACAATACAGCTTGTACATTGGTTGCAAAAAATGACAATATTTATAGTGATTACGTGCTTTGCTACAAAATAACCGACATTTAGAGGTGTTCACAAATTAAGTGTAATTCATGTAGGATCATACACCCCTTCTTAAACAGGAAATATACTACTTTTGAAGTACTGAAAACGCAGAAAAAATATTTAAAGTGAAGAAGAAACGATGCTGTCCGCCTTAACAAAATAGCCTTTTGATACCTTTTTTTGTTTTGTTTTTTGTGACAAATTTCGAAACACAAAACTGGGAGCAAGAGATACTTTTGGTTTAGATGGAATACTGCGGAAACTGTGCAATGCAAATTATCTTACATATGTTTCGTAATATATTTGGATTGCGGTTGTATAGTCACAAATACATTATCACACTAGCAGTCTAACTTCAGTTTCATATCAAACTTGTTAGTGATATGGTGATAAAAAACGTCATCGTGTGACATGAATACATTAATCAAGTTGTTTAGTCGATGGTCAAATCACCGCCCTGACGATTTAGAGGCGATTAACAGAATTCAAGAAACACATTGTAGTTAATTGTCACAATTAGTATATAATGCATTCTATAAATAAGCGACATAATTTACCAACCTCAATCGTTCCATCTTCCAAAAGATATATGATGTGATTATCTGCGACTATATCTGCGCTCTCTATTACGCTAAGTCCTCCTCCAATGGATACAAGGTTCGCGGTCAATTCAAAATCATGTGCATCTGGTTGAAGTGTCTGGCTCAGAATATAGCTACAATCACTGTTAAAATCAAAGCACATGCCTTCGAACGTGGTAAAATGTGGTTCACCAATGCAAATACATGGGTCACAGGGACAACCTGTAACGATACACATGTCTGACAGTTAATAGTATGGCCTATTTATGTACTTTATTGCAACA